ATTCGACTTCCATTGCAGCTTTCATTACTATCAAGACCAGACCTGAGGACGGTGTCGCTGCAGCTGAAAGCCGTCAACTCTTTCCAGTGTTGTCAGAACGGAGCCTGAGGACCCGGGCAGTTTTGGGTCGGAGAGGAGTGGTGATAATTTCGAGGCTTCGTTGACTCGCTTGATAGGCGAATCAGCCTGAGCAGCTAGATATCAGGCAGAATGCGGGCAATGTTGCAGGTCAACGTATGCGCAGTGTCACAACACCATCAAGGCTGATAGTGCAATCTATTTGACCGAGGTCAACGGGATCTGATTTCGTTCAACGTAATGAAACACCGCTAAGCAGACCAATGAACAGCAAACTCAGCAGAAAGTAGGGTTCGATGGGGTGGTAAACATGCGGAATACCAACTGCTAGGATTTCTCCTCATCGGACAAGTGGCCCTCATAGAACATCAGAAACGTGTTGACCTAACTGGTAACCAGCACAGCATAACGAAAATACCACAAAGTCTCAACCCGCGAGCTCAAAAGTATGTCTCTTGCATGCATGGCGTCTCCAAGCTTTGCCCTTTTGGTTTCTTTCTCTAGTGTTCCAATATGGCTAGTCCTGCTAGTTATGATGTTGTGATGTGTGTCCCAGTGAGGCTTGGTGAAATTCTCTACAAGGTATCAAGCTAACGCTCAGCGAGGTGATTCTCTACCTGCATATTGATCCTTTCGCTTGTCGGCTCATGTATGACAAGCATATCATGCCAGTCCTCACTGGAAAGGATTTCGAAGGATTCAGCCAGCATGATAAATCAGGAAGCCCCGCCTTGCTCAGGAGGCAGCAATCCGTATCTGGCAGAAAGGGCGTCATGGATTGATGAGGATCCCGGTCAAGCCGTGGTTGAATGCGCTCACTCGTCCTTAGATCTCTGGAAGTATTCGTACCCCTCACCATTGCGCTCCTTCTGACTGAAGCGACAGGACCTTGTTGGCTTGTTCGCATTTGGGTTGGCGATATATTTCGTAGCGCCCGAGCTACTTTAGCCGTCTCAAACAATCTGACGAGTCTCAAGGCTTGGGGAGGAGCTTTCGATGCTCTAGGCTACTTTATACCTCGTCAACTGGAATATTGAGTAGGCTGGCACGGCGACACGCGGAGGTTTGGCCCGACATTGATTTACCTCAATATCAAAATTCCTCCACGGATAGTGAAATCAGTTCCGCCCAAATTTCCCAAGTCTCATCGAAGGAATAAAGCCGACTGAACTGGAAGGAATACAAAAGGTGACCTACGAAGTCGTCAAAGTTGCCCTGATCTCGTTTCGATTAAAATTTGTCAGGATATCTGTCAGCGCATGGCTAGAGCCCTACAACGTAACCCCCATATGCCACTCCCCTAACGATTTTACATGCAGAGCCAAGATTTAATCTACCACAGCGTGAAGACTTTTGCCACTCAAATTTGATAGGGTAAACATCAGAACAGGAAAACGGCCCGCTAATACTTGTTCCCCAGTGATGAGGCACTTGGTTTCTTGACAGATGTTTCAAAAGGGTAACCGCTGAGTTTCAATGCTTTCAAAGCCTGGTCTTAGTTCAAGACCGCCTTATTTATCACTGTGCACCTAATCTTTGGTCCCTTGGTACCACGACGGCTGTCCGAGCTTCTGACTCAGCAAGCTGCGCTGTAGAAACGTACTTCTTGAACTTTCTCGCGGGTATCTCTTGCTGGAACATCTCCAGCTTGAGATATGTGCGGCCCTATCTCGAGCAAACAGAGAAGGATTAAATGGCCAAAGGCATCGACAGCTCAGAGAATACAAATTCGACTTTGCCGCCCAATCTCCATCAGTCGGATTGATGAGGTAAGGGAGAAGTTGGGAGACTAGGGTTCCAGCCGCCGTGCTCGGCATGATGTTGATGGAATATGTCTTCTGGTGCAGGCGGGCTGTCGGTGTCTCGTCTCCAACGGCGAAAGTCTCGGCGCCTAGCGTTGATTGGTACTGGGGGTCTCGTCAGTGCTGCAAGGAGCTCGATTGTCAAACGTGAGGGGCACTTACGAGGAAACCCCAGAAAGCCATAAGGGCTACCATCGCACTCAAGGCTTGCTGGTTATTCGTTGGTATGGCGAAACAGCCAATGACAAAGAGCAGCACCGTCATGGCAGCTATCCCTTGAACAATGAGACGGCCGTGGCTAGACTTGTCGACTACAAACTAGCTGATTATGTTACCCACAAGCCGAATAGCGTATGCGCATTGCGCGATGCCCATTGGATTATTGACGCCCGCCACCGTACAGAAGTAGCTTTAGGTCTGTCGGAAGCTGACATCAATGGAAATTTCCATGGAGTCCACTAACGACAGGTAAGCAGCCGCGAACATGCTGCCACCAGACTGCTGGGCAAGATATGCCATCACAACAATGCCCTTGAAACAGTCAAGATACGATGCCTCGTCTTGGAAAACGGAATGCTCTTGTTCGACGGCGGCCTCCGGGACGGCAGGTATTCGTCCCAACATCAAGATCAGCCCCATGGAACTTTTCCAGCGACCTGCCCGACTCCTCGCGACGGCCCTTGAGCAGAAGCCACGATGGTGACTCAGGCAGAACGGGCACAGCTAATGCCAGCATGAGTACAGGCGGCACTAGTCGTGTCAGAAAAGGCATCCCCCCCCCCACAAGTCGCTGGCGATGAAAGACCCTGCGTAGGCCACAAGGACACAACCCCACTGACGTAAGACAATCATGTTGTTGATGAGGGTGAGGCAGGCACCGCGTAGTTCTTTAGGCGCGATCTTGGCGATAAAGACAGGAGCGAGAACATGGCCGAGACCAAAGCCCAGGGTGCTGACGAGCTTGCCACCAAAGATGGTCATGGCAGATTCGGCGAAGCTCTGGACTACGACACCTACAACGCAGGGGATGCAGCCAATGTATAAAACGAGGAGGCGGCCTAGGATATTGGAGGCGAAGTCAGCTGAATAGGCTGCGACAAAGATGCTGACCATGGCTGCTCCGTTCCGGAGCTGCTGAAAATGTGTCGAGATCTCAATTTTGCCATCGGGTGTTTCGCTACCGAATTTCGGGAGAAAGGAAGGAATGGATAGACAGTTGCCGAGCAGAGGGGCTTCGTAGCCGAAGTTGATCGGCAGGATGAGAATCAAATGGCCTGTTTGTGCAATACGTCAACAGGAGCCCTCGCTTGACCTGGTAACTTGGACAGGAAAAGGCCACATAGCAGGCAGATCGTGTGAGGTCGAAATTAACTTACACCGGCCGAAAACGCGCTTGTATCTCTATATGTGCTGGAAGCCTGATTCCGTATTGGATGCGCCAAGCTGTATGGATGTCGTCTGCTCTGGGTGGAGCCGCTGAGAAAAGCTGGTGATCAGTTTCCGACCCACGTTTCTAGACTCGTGGGCGACCGGAGCTAGCTCATCCACCGACCAAAAGGAAGCCACCCTGGACTTTCGGCCCAAGCCCCGCACAGATAGAGGTTGCGAGCGCAGAGCAGCGAAATGCGATGCTTGAGGGGATGTGGTATAGATCCAAAGTCTTCGTACAAGAGTCTTGTTTGGAAGGTACCCAGAAACCTCGTGGTGATTCGATGTAGAGTAAGGTCGTTGTAATACCACCAGCCCTTCATCTGATTTCGACACCCATATCTTGCTTCCGTACGATCAAGTATTGATTAACGTCGCATGTTCGAGAGCTCTCGAGAGCTGTTCGAGAATCCCACGGGGTAATTTATGGAAGGGGATCTAGACTGGATATCGAGCTGGAGTTTGCGGGGACATCACGTCCCTGGATAAATGCTTAGCTTAGGATGACCAGGGTCGAGCCCACGCCGATGATGTGTAACTTTATGTTCGACAAGGCAGGATCAATCATGAAACTGCGGCAGATTGTGAATTTCACGCATGTCGCCTGCTGCCTCGTACTCTCACATGAATACAGCGGAAATCTAATGGCATAACCTTTGACTCACGAAACATTCGGACATCGCAAACGTAATTACTCATCATCTCTTTCCTGGGGATGTTCTAAATGGCGCTCAGATGTTTTGAGGGTTTGGCTGGTTTTGTTCTGGTCAGGGGCTATTTGTTAGTGCCTCTGTAATAGGATGATTATGTCAGTTCTCGGAGAAACCAGTCCTAAGGCCACATCCTCGCACTTTCTCTACTTCCTGGTTCCTCCTATCTGTCCTGTTTCTCCTGTTCATTTGTTTTCTCCGTTCCAATTCAATTGTTTCATTCCACCTGCATTCAAAGCCAAGACATTAGGACTACGAGTCACGGCAACCCCACACATACGGACTTTCTCTCCCAAGTCGTCAATTGGCACAACTCACCACGCGCCGAACACGATCCACAGTATCACACGTGCTGCACGACGAAAGTCCGAGACCACGCCAGGCCGTTCTATGCCGCCGGGTCTCTGCCTTGGCTCATCGGCATGACTGGCGGCAGGCTCCTGACGTTGGCATGCGATAGCTGCAGGGTACGCAAGGTCAAATGCGATGCCCGTACGCCTTGCTGCAGCAACTGCCGCTCATCTGGCATTGACTGCAAATATGAGCTTCCGAGGAGAAAGCGAGGTCCAAAAGCTCGCAGCCAGCAAGTTCAGGCCTCCGTTGAGCCAACGCAATCGCCCAGTGGGGGGTCTCCGCGAGGAAAGATTCCCGATTCTCCAGCCAACGGACTAACTGACATCGTAGCACCCGTCAAGATAACATCGACTCTGCCGTTAGCAGAGCTATCTCATGTAGATCGCTTCCCAGCGCACGTGTCCCCACGATTGCATCTCGGATTGAATCACATCGCTGCCAGGACAGGGCTTCGTCGAACTGACATTACTTTCCGAGGAAAGGCTCCCACCACCCACAGAAATCCAGGAGGCGCTGGCGAAAGACCTCAAGACTCTTGGGTCGTCGGTTGACCATGCCGCGAGGAGATGCATTGACGTTTTCATGCAATATTCCTACCCTCTCATCCCGATAGTGCAGCCGACGAACCTCATCGCCTCGATCGCTCTACTATCCCGCCCATTGTTACCCGACGAAACCACACCGCAGTCCAGACACTCATCTGGGCTGTCTATGAAGAGCTTGGAAGAGTTTAGAGCATTCACTCTGCTGACGGCCTTGTGCGCGAGCATCTGTGCAGGAACGAACTCCGGTATGATATGCAGTCTCGACAACCCCGACATGCCCCGCTGCTTCTTGCGTGCCTCTCGAGGCATGTTCGCACACTTTGAGGAGCGAGACATCGAACACCCAACCTCTTCGTCCCTCGTCATTAGAGTACTGCAGTCCAGCGCATTTCACTGTCTTGGTAAGACGCACATAGCTCTGTACGTTCTGAGTAACGCTCATCATCTGGCACTTCTGATGAGGCTTTACGACGAGCGATCGTTTGATGACATGCCGCAACCAGAGGCAACAATCATGCGTGCCGTAGTTTGGACGCTGTACGCGGCCGACAAATCTGCATCGATTTTGAATCATGTCCCTTCCACCGTTCAAGAAGTCTGTCTCCAGGAGCCGCTCACTCTGGCGTATGAACGAGAGGGCGATTTTGGATTACTAAGCCCGGACATGCCACTGTTCACCTGCTCATATGAATCCCGGTTGCAAGCTGGCTTCACGTTGAGTAATAAGCTGTGGAAAGATGGGGCCGATATCATACTCGATCTGAAAGTCCTGGCAAGAATGTACAGTCGATCCGGGGTGACCACGGAAGTACAGCCTTTAGACGTGCCCGCGTCCGGCGTTATGCAGGCTTACTTGAACTTCTGCGCTGTTCTGGACTCACTCCCTCCTTGGTTGAGGGATCCCGAGTCCCACACGACGAATATTCCTGCAGCAACTTCATTTCAGAAGCTTGCTTTCTGGGCTCAAAAAGCAAACCTCGTCATCACATTCCACTGTCTGCGACTTACCATTCTGCGACGAGCAGAAGCACACGGCTGCTGCCATCTTCTTGGTCTCATAAACGATGAGGGTATGCTGGCCCTTCGAAAGACAGAGATTGCTAGTGATCTTGTAGCAGCGGCGACCGCTGTTCCATTCGATGCCTTAAGGGCTAACAGCGAGCCTTGCGTGAGTTCTTCCTCACGAGAGATCGCCTTGCTCGTCGAGCAATTGCTGACTGCTGGTACTAGGTCGAAAAACTCCGACAAGCCGGGGTCGACCTGCTGCAGATCACCCACAAAACCACTAACCAGGCACTCTGTGCACGCGCCAAAACTATTTTTTCAACCCTCTTGGATCTGATCGCGACGTTGAATTCGAAGGTCTCGAATGAGTTGAGCACGGGATTCCCGAGTTGAACAAGGCTTGGCAAAAGCGAGCCGTGTGTGACCTATTTATCCGCGGAGATTCTTCCCACCCACTCGCTACCGCCGCGCACTTCCCCCCGCAGCGGGATCATGGCACCTACATCCCAGGTATGACGGAGCACGTGAGGGGCCGGCCGTTGTGATCATGAGTATTTCAGCTCAGTGTGTCAAAGCTGGAATATATTCACTGGCCATCTTTATGCCGCTGGCACATCTGCTCTCCGCACCTCTTCACTCTTTTGGTTCTCAGAAAATTCCCGAAGAGAGCTAGAAGAACTTGATACGGTACCAACAAGACGCCATGGGGTCGTTCAGCCGCGCCATCGAGTACTCGAATCCCATTGTGCCAGGCTTCTCGCCCGACCCCTCTGTGGTATTCGTCGACGGAACGTTCTTTCTCTGCACGTCGTCGTTTCATGTCTTCCCAGGACTACCCATATATGCATCGAGGGACTTAAAGGGATGGACGCATATTGGTATGCCCTGCGATGGACCTCGATTCGATATTTAGAGGCCGAAATCCTTATAGAGCTCTGGCTTACATTACAATAGGAAATGCGCTGAATAGGCAATCACAGCTCAGTCTGAAGAAAGCTGGAACCATTCATGTCACGCTTGACACCGGATTTCCCCTTGTAGGAACTCTGGGCATTGTTGCCCCGAGTATCCACTACCACAAGGGAATCTTCTACATTGTAACGACCAACACGGATCACAGCGGGCCGTACCACTGCGCAAACTTTATCATTAGCACAGAGAACATCTGGAGCAACAAATGGAGTGACCCTGTCTACTTTGACTTCAACGGTATTGACACCAGCCTCTTCTTCGATGACAATGACCGCGTCTACGTACAGGGGAGCTGGATGTTGCGTCGCGATAAACAACCCACCGCCAACATTAAGCAATCGAAATCGAGATCACCACGGGCAAGGTCCTTTCAGAAGCCAAAGAAATCTGGACTGGGTGGGCCAAATACGATACGGAAGGCCCGCACATCTACAAGGTAGATGGATATTACTACCTGCTGGCTGCAGAAGGCGGTACCTTTGAGCACCACATGCTCACCATCGCAAGGTCCACTAACATCTGGGGCCCATATGAAAGCGCGGAGACCAACCCTATCATGACGGCAGATGGCAAGGATGAGTACATACAAAATATTGGCCACGGCGATCTGTTCCAGGACTACGACGGCCGCTGGTGGGCCGCTGTCCTTGGCGTCAGGAAGCAGGAGGACGGGAACCTCGGTCTAAGCCGCGAATCCTTCTTGTCCACTGTTAACTGGCCCTCTGGTGATTGGCCTGTGGTTCGCCAACCCAGGATGAACTTCACGAGGGAGGCGTCGTTGTCCATGGTCAGTCATTCTCCGCTCACGGCGCCTCCGTTTGTCGAGGATCTCTACATCCGTGACTACGATCCGTCCAAATATCGCCATACCGACGACGGGAAGACCATAACGCTCACCCCCAGTCGGACGGATTTTACGTCCCCCGTCGATACATGCACGTTTCTTGGCCGCCGTCAGCGATCCCTTGATAGTATAGCTTCTACTCGTATCACGGTCATCGAGGGTCCTCTCGGCAAGAATGTGCAGGCAGGTCTCGCACTGTACAAGGACCCAATACGATCCGCATACATCGCCTTTGACTTTGCCACGAATTCACTAGTCTATTCTATCCACAACTCGGCGTCAGGTCTCAGAGGCCGTATATCCCGCAATATCATCGGTAAAGTGGAGGAGGCGGAGTTGCGCATCTCGGCGGCTCCGTTAAGGTACAGTTATGCGGCCAAGATTCGGTTGGCAGAGCCTGGTAGGGGGAGCGAAAAAGACTGGTTCGAAGTTGGGTCGATGGAGTCTCTGGCTCTCGATGCCAGGGACTTCACGGGACCTATCCTCGGCGTGTTTGCACATGCTGGGGACGGTGAGGCAGAGGCGGCAGAGGTGACCTTTAAGGGTTTCGATTTCTTAGGCTGATGCAATCTTGGCCTTGGTCGAGTGGCATCCCACCCACATGTCTTGATGATGCCCAGAATTAGGAGTATATAGAGCTTGAGGGCTCAACTGGAGCCTTGTCGTACCGTTCTTTTCGTTCTTTGCGTCGAATACATCTGTCTATTCATTCATTTTGGAGGCTTCAGCGCGCAGAGGCTGATGTAGGAGCCGGCTAACGTTCAAGACGCGGCAAATCTTTGTCCAACTACCATGCATTTCTCGGATCTAACATGTCTGAGATAGTCACAAGACTTTTTGGTCCTAGTCGATAATGTACCGTCCGGCCAAGAGACCTGCAGCGAAGCTAGCGAATAATCGGTTCGTCATACACAGCAACATGATCAGTACTGAATCTAGAACTCTGTCCTGAGAGCTTGCTGTGTTTCGCGACAATAAAAGTTGTCCAGCACCCAGGTTCAACCCCCCGTACCTGCTTGACAGACCTCGTTCAACGAAAGTTACTGTTCTCGATTCTGATGTTCAGCTCTGGGAAAATGTCTTCCTAGACATGGAAGATGTCAAGAGTCTCTTCAGTTGACAATCCAGTCCTGCAGGAACAACAGAGGCGTTTTCTTTACCAAGGTCGGGACAGTATATTGCAAGGATCCAGAAGTCTCAGGTCAGTCATACGCCAAGATGCTCACGCGGGCCCTTGGATTGAGAGAAGGCACATCGGACCATACGGCAGAACGACATTCATCTCAGAGGGGACGGTCATATGGTAAAAAGGCGTAAGAGATTGCAGGAAATGTCATCATTTATCGCTTCCAGTCTAAAAGATTGATTCGCTAACAAAGATGTAAATACGCAACATTGCAAGCTGTCGCTAGCATCCTAGATACTGAGTGAAGACAATATTGTTTGGGGGGTTGGGGGCTTGGCTTGGCTTGGCTTGGCTTGGCTCTTCAGAATTACTGGATTCCGGACGGAGGCAATCAGCTACTCGGCTGTCAAAGGTTTCCGACCATAGACATTAGGTCTAGGAAGGGGTGTCAGTTCAACCGTAATACAAATGTGTGCAGAGAATGAAGACTAACACGATGTAGTAAGGTCGCAGTTTCAAATCACGAATGGCCTTCCTCATATTGGCGACCAGAAGCTGAATCTCGATGTACTCCCAGCCCATGATTTCCTTCAACAGGAACAGGGCGAATCCCTCGAGACTCTCCTCGAGGAAAGCAAGGTTGTAGATGCCGACCTCCTTCAGGCGGGGGTCACTGCTCCACCCGCCACAGGGGAGCTGGTAGTCCTTGACAACAATGTCCTCGAAGCCAGCCTGCTCCATGTAGCGCTTCATGCGCCCATCGAGACCAATCTCGGCCGTCTTGCCGAGCCGGTCCATGGCCTCGGTGAAAACTTGACCCCACTGCTTGAAGACGTGTTTCGGGTCATCGCGCACCGAAGGTAGATCGCTCCGCAGGTTGATAGTGAATTCAAAGTTCTCTAGGTAACCACCAGGCTCGAGCGCCCTGAAGGCCTCCCCGTAGAGCTTAGGCCAGTCGCCTATGCTGCCGTAAAGGGCACGGATGTGGATCAGGTCGAAACTCGCGGCCGGGTACGTCCACTCGAGCTGGGCGTCATCAATGTGGAACTTGCAGTTGGGTGGCACCCAGGAAGGCTGAATAGGGCTGATGTCGAAGCCCGTCACTTCGGCGGCTGGGTGAGCATCGGCCACATCAATGGCCCAGATGCCGGTGCCGGTTCCGACATCAAGAACGCGTTTGGGCTCGTCAATCGGTGCCTCATAGAGCTTGTCGCCGAGAAGCAGCGTAATGAAGTGGTGGGCTATATCAAGACCGTCATTCTGGCGATCGTCGTTGGGGCCCCAGTACTCTGTCGACTTGTAGCTCTGGAACGTACGGCCATGGAGCTGGCGGTACTCGAGCATGCTGCTCGTCAACGAGGCCGTCGATGAGACGAAACTATACCACGTATGAGCTGTAGACTCAGTGAGATGGAGACTGTGCGTGCTACCTTTCATTGTCGATGCCTTCGTCACTGTCGACATCCGATTCGTCCTGCATCAAACAATTAGTATGTTCGCAGCGCCACAGTGTTGATTGAGGCCTCACAAAAGGGACTTGATCCGCCGTAACGTGCTCCTGTTCGTTCGCTTGTTCGATAACCTGCTCCAGGTTCGCTGGGCTTCCTGGAGCGTTAGAACTGGGCGATCGTGGAGATTTGGGCGACCGAGGGGACCTCGGTGAGGGAGATTTCTTGTAAGATGGACCCGGGGGCGGGGAGGCGGCCGAAGCCTCCTGGCTGGTCGACATGGCAAGAGAATTCCAAGTGTGGTTTAGCTGCGTGAGGATGTCCCACCGGGAAATGACTGGGTTTGACGGAACGGGACGAATATCGATGCTAGAACCAGATGAACCCAGTAACGGCAAGAGAGTCAAGAGTCAGGTCAAGCTCAGTGCCAGGCGCGCGAGTGTAGGGTTAAGGGGGGATGCGAGTGCGAATCGAGCTACGAGAGGGCAGAAGCCTTGCCACGACTTATGAAGTACCAGCATACCAAAGGAAAGCAAACCCCGCCCTCGAATCGGTCCCCCCGGGCCCAGCCTCTGCCCTCGCCTGATCGTCCTATCATGCTTGGCTTGTCTGGAACAGTGGCTCGAACTCGATGAGAGATACTGACGTGATTGGCTTTTGCGCCATGTCTAGCTAGGCAAGCTAGGGTAGGGCTTGTCCTTTCCGCTCCCCCCGTTCGCCCTAGGCCAGATCTGAGAAATGCTCCAGGCCGCATAAGGTCAATGAGAGAATATCAGCCCCCATTATTCTGCGGCATGGTTGGCCACGAGGGCAACAGCAAAAAACGATTTCCGGTTTCCAGATCCACGTTGACGGGACATGCGTGTCCTAATGAGGGATCTGAGCCATCGAATGACGGCGTCACAATTACTGGCGCCGCGGCCCCCCGGCTGACCGCCTAGGTTTGTCGTCTCCCCTCTCCTGATGTGCCTTCTCGTGCCGTCCTGCCCCCTCTCGAGCTTGAGCATTGATCAAAGGGTGGCTTCGAAATGCTTACGATCGCTCCATTACTTGCACCCACATGTCAGAAATCGCAAATAACCCTAACAGATTGCGTGTCTTCCACGGCTTAATCGGATCGATGAGAGCAACGTCGAAATGCCGCAACAGCTGCGTATATCGAACGAGAGTCAGCAAGAGGGCATCACGGATGCAGACTCAACAGCTTCTACCCAGTAGGAACGATGCCGCCGAGCAGGAAACTGGGTCAAAGGGGAGGGATACGACAGGGGGAGAAGCAGAAAAACAGACGTACCTCAAAAATGGTCTTGGCCATCTCCATCTGCGCGACGGGCTTGCCGAGGCACGTGAATCTGCCGTCGCCAAAGACCATATCATTCGTCCGCACCATAGCCGCCAGCTTGTCTTTATCGTCCTCGAACCAGCGCTCTGGCCTGAAAGCCTGGGCGTCGTCGCCGTAGAGGGCCTCATCGCGGTGCATCGCGTAGGCAGAATATCCAATGCACACGCCCCCTGGCAGCGCGATTCTCTCGCCGTCGACGACAACAGTGTCGCCGCCTGCTGGCACGTCGCGCGGGAACAGGTTAGCCACAGGTGTTCGCACGCGCAGTGACTCGCGGACGACAGCCTGCAGGAAAGGCAATTCCTTTGCTTGAGCCTGAGAAATGAGGCCGTTCCCGACAGCCGGCGCCCGGCCGTCGCGCACCGCCGCGTCAATCTCCTTCTGCAGCAGTGCGTAAACGCGTGGGTTCGTCATAACCAGTAGCAGCGCGCCGCGTATGGCACCGGCCGTTGTGTCAGAGCCAGCGATAATCTGCTCGAGTGCCTCGGACTTCAGCTCATCGTCGCGCAAACCGTGGCGGATAAATGATGCCAACATGTCGGAGCGCTTATCGGTGTCGCCACGAGCGACGCGCTCGTCGACAAAGCGGAAGCAAGTTGCCATCATCTTGCCAAATCCATTGTTGTCGCGCGGCGAGGGCGCAATGAAGCGACCAAGCACAGGCGACTGCGCGAGCCACGATGCACCTAGAGCCCATGCAGCATTGGCAGCAGCGAGACCCTCTTCACTCGATTGAAGATACGAGTCCACATCTTCGTCGGCTGCCAGCATACCAAATGTCTTGCCCAAGCCGACAGCACTGATGACGTCGAGCGTGAAGAATTGCACCTTCTTGGCTAGATCCATGGGCACGATGCGGTCAGGCGTCGAAATGTACTTGGTCCTCACGAGTTTCAGCAGGTCCTCAAGGCGCTCGTCAATGGATGCCTCGAGGCCCGGATTCTCTCGCCCTGAGTACTTTTCCAAGTGTCAATACGATTGAGATGCGTTCCTGTGATGGGCAAAGTCACTCACGCCAGGGGCCATCTGCTTCCTCCGCTGCTCGTGCTTCGCATTGTCAGATTGAGTGAAGACATTATCGCGGCGATACTCGACCCGGCACGCATTGTAGTACCACTCGGATCGTTTGTACCCAGCCTGTCGGTTGACGTGCGCCCAGACCTCGGGCGACGAGGTCAATAGGATGCCAGGCGCGATTCGCGCAATGGGACCTTTCGTTGTCAGCTACGTGGAATGCAACCTTTTGCTGCTATGATAATCAAGAACAAGAACGAGAGAGGGGGGGGGAGAAACCGTCATCTCGTGAACCTCACGTACCGTGTTCCTTGCTAACCTTAGCATACCACTCATGGCACTTTTCCGACAGTGCGGCCTTGCCGTGCGGGATGTTGCTGACCCCGGTCCAGCGTGGCCCAGTAAACTGTCTCAGTTTGGCCCAGGCGATCACTGTGCGTGCCAGGTAGAGCACAAACAGCGCCGCGACCAGCGGCACCGCCGTCACCAGTTCTGAGAAGAGTGTTGTGATCATGACTGCTGAGATGTTAGGAAAGAAGAAGACTGAGGGCAAAGGACAGGATTCGACCGACCGGAAAACTGGTAACGCAACCCCAGGTCCACCGCTGGAGGGGGTCGAACCGGGACGTCCCATGTTCATCTTATATCGATGCCGGAAGGGGGGAGGCGAAATGGGTGGCCCCGCACAATTCACATGATGCTACCTGCCTAGTTTCTGGTTAGCAACCTTTTCACACATCGACTAGACCTCATCCATGTCTCTTAGCGGTCCTCGCAGATGGCGTGGGACTTGAGGGAGTTCGGGCCCAGAACCTGGCGAGTTGTCTTTCCAATCACGAACCAGCCATAACTCAGCCCGGCGGGCGTTGCTCGAAGCAGGCACTCGTTGCGACCCTGGGGGCCCAAAGCTGGGCTAGTTCAAGGGGAGAGGCACGTTCGTGAGAGGGTGGGAATGTCCAGACACGTAGGGATGTGCCATTCGTTCATGCCCGATGACCCTTGGTGTCTTTGGCCTAGTACCTCTGCCTCGTTCGTGCCAGGAGTCGTATGCATTATCACAATTTCTTTCCGCCTACCTGGCTTCTGCCCCCCCCCCCCCCAACTTGAGCTCCTGCAAGCCAGTAACCACATGGTCTGATCTTCAGTAGTGGGCGCGCTTCCCGGCGGGCCGGGCCCATGGGCCCAGTCGTCGCACGAATGGCCCTGGAGCCCATTCCCTGTAAGGGTCCCCCCACGACCGGGTTCCTGGGCTGCTTGGGCAAAGTTGGCGGGTTGCTTGGGCAGTGACTGTGCATGGGTTCAGGATGCGTGTATGGTAGCTAGACAGGGCTTGGTACCCTCTTTCGCGCCGGCTGCTGGCGATGGCTCGACGGGGTCACAAACGACCAAGAGGACGGAAGACGAGACATTGATGGGCAGATGACACCATGATCTACTTCGTTGTATGGCAACGTCCTGTTGCGCGCTAATGGCGGTGGCACTGCTAGGCTGCGATCTCGATTAAGCTAGACAACATCCAGAGGCCTCGACTGGTGGTGCTCAGCCGCACCATTTCCCTTCACCGTGATTGTGTGTGAGTGTCTCATAAAGAGCATCACCTCTCATGCTCGTCAATTGACGAGTCGAGCGTCAGGCAGACGATCGGCGAACCCTTTGTTGTCGGCGAACTTATCACGTCGTTCTTGAATTGAGCTAGACCACTAAACGACAACACAGCGATCGTGTCGACGTGCAATGTCATGGCGTACACCTGTCGCCCTGGAGGGCGCTCATGACACGGCCTTCACGATTTTCGTCGCCAATGTGGCAATTGCACATCTGTCCATCATTCCGTATGGCATAGTCGCATCCCTTACGTCGAGCTTTGACGAGACTTTCGCCTACTTCGAATTAGCTTATGTCACTTTCGCTCTGTCGCCTCTCGTCATCTATCATGTCATTGTGCTTTTTTACCACATCTGGAATCTCAGCGACCACGTCTACTTTAGGACAACACATGCCCTTCGCCGTTCGTTCCACTCCCTTGCGTTATGGTACTTGCGCCGAACGGCGTGCCTACACACCTTCATTCGAACTCGGAGACATGACTTGCAACAAGCGGTCAGTTGCGGTTTACTCCATGTCGTCTACCAAGTCCCGCCTCTGAGTTATGTCAGCAATCGATGGACATTGAGTTCGTCGCGACAAACATGGATTTCGCACACGGCACCTCGAGTGCAGGCTCGGGACAAGTGTGTAACGAGCAGCGTCTGCAAAGGCTGTCAGCGATTGGTACGCGCCTCCCATTTGCTCGTGGGTTCCTCCTGGCCATTGTCGCGCAGACGGGAGATGCATCATCTCAACTTGACCTTGGACGCCCTGAAGACATCTGCGTCCAGCAAGTGTTGCCACTTGTGCGCGGTGCTCTGGTTCTCCATGTCAAACAGCGAGTTGCATAGTGCGAAAGGCCCCAGAGAGCTTTCTCTGCCCGTCCAGGGGGCGATGGGGGTTACTACGAATGCCGCAGAGAGACAACCCCTCTTGGGCTCGGATCAGTCGGGACTGAAACTGGCGATTTGGAAGCAAGTGAGGAAGAACGTGAGTGATGAGTCTCATCTATACATGCAATTATTCATGGGATCCGTTTCCCTTGGGCATGAAATTCTCATTGAGGACGATCTTAACCGTGAGTGGCCACTACCTTGCCCAGATCGGATGCTCCCTAATCATGGCCTTAGCGTCTTTGGAGCGAGAGCTCAGTCTCTCGACAGACTCATCTTTGTGCCTGGACTTGGTGCGCGCTTGGTTGCACGATTGCGAGTCGAATCATCCCAGGTGCCGTGCTAGAAAGGCCTCCCGGAGAGTGCTGCCCAGTCGACTCATCTTCATCGAAAGGACTTCGGACGATGTTGGATACCGAGCTCATCTGGTGCAAACCAAATGCTGGGGTAGTCGTGTCGATTATCTTGCCCTCAGTCACTGCTGGGGCTCCAGTGTGAACGTGACACTAACAGACCATAATCTCAACGATCTGTGTCGGCAAATTGAGCCTGCCAAGCTGTCTCAAAATTTCATCGACGCCATTCACATAACGCAGGAGCTAGGCTTCTCTTATTTGTGGATTGATTCGCTTTGCATCATGCAAAAATGTTTTAATCACGACACATCCTCAGTCTGCAATCAGCGAAGCCTACAGGACTGGGAGACGGAATCCAGGCAAATGGCCAACGTCTATGCCCAGGCGTCTTGCACGATATCTGCTACTGGCTCGGCCGAATCTTCTGGCGGCTGCTTCAAGAAGAGGAACCCTCTGCCATACTTTCCATGTCACATCCTCGGCGATCCTTCGAGCCGACGGAGTCTGACTGTCAAGGCGGCTAACACGGCCTTCAAGACCAACATGTTCCACACTGAGGTTGACGGCGGTCCACTGAACACGCGAGCCTGGGCGTTCCAGGAACGCCTCCTTTCCCAGCGCATCATCCACTTTGGTGCCTCCCTCATATTTTTCGAATGCAGCACCCTTTTCGCATCGGAGCTGCAGCCCGAGGGCATATACGATGGAGTCGATGTCCTGGCGCGTGACGGCACCAAGCACGAATTCCCTGACCTTGACAGATGGGCAGAGATGCTTGACCCTTTCCTCCCTCCGCCACAACCATCAGCGCCCCCTGCTCTTGAGCCAGAGGATTTCAGTCCTCCAGAGGACTCGGCACCCTCGAGGCCTTCAGCATCCATCAAGCTGCCAAACACATATGGCCTCTTTCCTTCCAAGCACGAGCGCCAGGCCCGCGCCCGTTACAATAAGGCTTGGAACCTTTATCGAGCCCGCAAGCGCCACAGACTCGAAGAGAACGCCGCTCGTGAGCGCCGTCATGCCGCGCGCGAACGGGCGCGCCAGCAGAGCGCGGAACAAGCACGCTTGCGGAAGTCAGAGCAAGTATCGCAGATTCCCCGGGCACCTAACCCCGCATACAAAGCCCCGGAGGTTGTCGCATCCCTCTCGGACAACAGCGTCACGGGCTACCGTGGGGCGTTCGATTTCCTCGCCGCCGCCGCCGCTGCAGGGTCCTCACGCGATATCGAGCCGCGAAATCGGCTACGTCTACACCAGAGATGGTTTGAGCTTCGTGAGCAAATACACACGCAGCCAATTGACTGTTGTGGGGGACCGCCACATGTCTGCTTGCCGGTATAGCGCGTGCTATTCAGGGGCCGGGGACCAACGCGGACTATCTCGCGGGCTGTGCGTCGACATCTGAATTTGACCTCTTTGGGCCTTGGAAGGATCTCCGAAACGCCGGCCGTCGCGTGTCAGGCACCCTCGTGGTCCTGGATATCTGTTGATGGGGCGGTCTCTCAACGACTCCTGCCTTTCACGCTCGCCAACGAGGCCCGTCGGTGCGAAGTCGAGATGCTGGCGAAAGTTGTCGCTGTGCAGGTACTTGACGCGAAAACAGGGGAGAAAGTCACTGATGCCACGGCCCCAATCGGTCCCGGCTTGCTTGAGCTTCGCGGTGTTCTATGCCCAGTATCACGACTAGACGTCGACGAGGCTACTGGCCGGGGTAGGCTCTTGCTATTAGGTACGTGGGCTGAGTGCGTCATGGACACGCTTTCCTCTGCGGCTCGAGGACATCAAGATCTGTTCTGCCTTCCGATACTCAACATGACAAGATTTCCGTTGTTAGAGCAGGAAAGCATGGCGGAAATAGAACGGGCATCGCTGCATGGCATCATTTTGAGAAAGTCTGGTGGCACATCTGCGGTCAAAGACATTTCTCCGTCTTGCAAAGCATTCGAAAGGGTCGGGTATTTTGTGCTGTCGTCCCTGACAGCCGAAGGACTTGGTGTACTCGAGGCCATCAAACATTCCACGCTGGCGGGTGATCTTGCATCTACCAGTATCTCTGTCAAGTGACGATATCCTAGTCTCGACATCAAATTAAAGATGGTGGCATTCTTGCTACTCATTATTTAAGCTCTATGTTTTAAAAATGAACGGATATACCTTCTACGACATTAACTCTTCCTTTTGAAGTCACTCGCTGTATCCAGACCTACGCATCCTATGTCTACATTACAGAAGTCACATCGCCATCACTGTCTGTCCCGGCTTCAGACAAAATCTTCACAGCCCGAGCCAGTTTCACTACCCGGCTGCTGATCCAGTCATCCGATGTCGATGCAGCATCTTCCCCAGGCTTAAGCGTCTTTAAATCAAGGCCGCGACTTTGATAGCCCATCGGTAGACTACTGCACCACCCAGGGTACCCCGTCATTGAGTACGTGGCAGAATTAGATGATCAGCGTAGTGTTATCACGCCTATGGTATGTATGGATGGGCCTGCCACCCATACATACCTACGCATGTAACATTTTAATGCAGCAAAGAATCTTGGCCACTGCAAATTTGAGTAGCCCAATCCCCCTGATTGGTTTGTTAGAAGGCATGGGGTCTTGTGCCAAGGTCCAACACGCCGTGCCCGCAGTTGATTTCGGTACCAACCAACAACTTGGTACAGCAGCCAATAATGACGTGGCCTCAAAAAGGAAGGGATGGACAAAAAGGCCACACTCCTGGAACGTGAGCTCCCTTTGAACCGTTATACTATACTTCAAATAGGCTCAAAACTGATAAGAGTAGAGTTCTGCTTTAGATGTGTCGCCAATTATCTAGTAGGTAGAATTTCGGAGCATTCAATCAAGGTAAGAGATGTTGAGGCGGCTCTGGAGTTGGGATCTGTCTGGATGATACCTGTGTTTGGCGGATTTTGAGTGCGGCGTAATCTGTCCAATGCTTTGATAATGTATCCATCACTCGAGCTTGCCCAGGCGCTTCGATACGACCCATGCTTCTTCTCACAGCTTGGCATTATTGGCCTCGGTTTCCACGGTACAGTAGCGTCTTGGAGGGTGGGGTTACTGCCTCCTGTGCCGCAGGCTCTCTATCAAACTCTTTAAAAGCAGCGGATTTCCGCATGACGGCGCCACGTGGAAGTCCTTAAGGTATCGCCGGATTTATGTTATTTAGTTCCTTCAGGTGTGAGATTACTACTGGGCTCTGATTCGCAATGCTGAAGAGTTCGCTGGGTCAGCGGCACGATGCACGACAGCCCAGAAGCCCTTGGGCGACATTGATGACGTTCACCTTCTTGGTCCCAACTTTGTGGACAGCAGTTTCGGCGGAAAATTCAACAGTCCTGAATGTACAGGTCCGTCCACAGATCGCCAACGGAGTGGAATTGCGAGTTCTACCCATTGGAGAGTACGTTTTTGGCATGGAATTCCCGACGAGTTGCGTCATTGTTTGCGGAAATCTATCGATATGCTCTCAACTTGATCCCTTGATACAACATACCAATGTAATCATGCTAATGTGTCACACTCAGCTCCATCACCTTTGGTGCCCAGAGCACACACGGAAATGGCTACCGGGGCGAGCTCCATGACCTTTTAGTGCAACGAGGAAATAAAGTCAACTTTGTGGGTGGTCTGGCAACTGGAAGCATGGCCGACAATAGTCATGAAGGACACCGAGCCTTTGTCATTGACCAGATATCGAATTCGAGCACAGTCGGTCTCCACGCAGCAGCCAATATTGTCCTGTTGCATGCAGGAACTAATGATATGAAAAACGAAGTGGATCCTCCCAACGGCCCTACGCGACTCAAAAGCCTTATCGACATCATCTTCGAAAACAGCCCAGAGGCTGTTGTGTTTGTGTGTCAAATTATTCCGGCGGGACCTAACAAGTACCGTGACGCACTCCCTCGGATCGACACTTTCAATGCTGCCATTCCCAACTTGATCTCTGAATATGTTTCGTCTGGGAAAAAGGTATTCATGGTATCCATGAATAAAGCTGTTTCGACAAAAGACTTGGCGGACAACCTTCACCCGAATGATATCGGCTACACCAAGATGGCGAACGAGTATTACGCTGCCATAGAGGAAGCAGATGCCAGAGATTGGATCTCTGCACCGGGTCAATGGGAAAGTGATCGCAGCGCGACTGAACTTGCGCAGGATCTCAATTCGGCCGGGATGAAGTCTTTAGCCTTCACTCAGTTTGGGTTGACCTGGGTCACTATTTTTCTTATCTCTATCTAAGAACGCGTTTTCAGATATGAGCCTACATGATCTTGGTAGATAGAAGGCAAGAAATGATATACAAATATTCCATGTTTGTTGTGAAGTGCAGAATCAGGTCCATTCGCTCCAACTTTGACCCTTCCAGTACACATCGCCCTCGGCTTCGAATTGCGGACCTTCAGCAGCGATAATATGCCCCAGCTCGCAGCGGTTGTACTCGACCTTTACTTGCTGGACATAGAAATTGTCGAACTGTGGTGAAAGGGCTTCGCGTAAAGTAGTAACACCTCCTTGAGGGTGCAGCGACCGCCAGGGCTGGGAGCAGGTCACGCCCTTGCAAGACTTGAGCACGAAAAGTAGTGCATCAAGCCGTGGAAGGACCTTTTGCAGAGAATAACCGAGAATGGTAGACTTGGCAGCTAATTCAATTTCTTCAGAGTGCAGAAGGTTCCGAAGTTGGCCAGGGTCAGTCTGTAATCAGTCAGCTCCAAATCCATACTCACTACCAAGTAGAAGCACTAACATTCAAATCGTATAGCTCATGCTCATTGGTGCACCAAATTGAGTAGTACAGATTGTAGCCTTCGCCAATGACGCGAATGGCCTTGTAGGTGTTGTTGAATACTCGCTTATCATCACCCCCGTTGAAGCCCCATTTGCCCTCAGAAATGGCCCAACCCCAGTATTCGATGTTGACATGCTCACGGCTCAGGGGCGCTGCCTCCAGCTCCTCCGAAGACAATGGGATAGGGGCACCGTCGAAGTCCGCCCGCAAAGGAGCATCGGCCAAATTGAGAATCGTGGGCACGAGGTCGATATGTGCTGTCACAGACTCGGAGATGGCGCCCTTGGGAACACCAGGGCCTCGCACAATGAGTGGAATGTTGATATCTTCTTCGTAGCCGCACTCCTTTCCGGGCTGGAGTCTGTGCTGGCTGATGTGAAAACCATTGTCCGTAGTGAAGAATATATATGTGTTGTCCAAGACGCCATGCTCCTCCAGCTTGTCAATGAGACCATCAACTAATTCATCAACAGCTTGAAGGGCTTGCAGGCGTCCGCGATAGTGGAGGTCGTTATAGGCCACATTTTCGTCGCTGAGCTTAGGCTGACGACGAACCCAGTCGGCACCCGAGGGTTTATCTGGGTTAAAGTTTTCCGTACGAGGAACCTTAGCATCTGGGAATAGGTGCTCATGTCTCTTGGCTGGCTGAGGAAAGTTTACCCTGAACTCGCCGTCCGACACGGGTACATCCTCATCGGGACCTTTGACTGGGTTCAGTGTTGAGGCGTTCACGTTGCTGTGGGGTGCAATGGGTGCAATGCCGAGGAAGAAAGGTTCTCCAGCGGCGACAGCATCATCAAGGAACCCATACGCCTTTTGTGCCACGAGGTCTGTAGAATACTGCCCGAGATGGTTGACCGGGGCATCCTTGTTCCTCTGGAAGGTTGCGTTCCAATATGCATAAGTGTTGGGATCAAGAAGGAAATCCTTGGATCGAGTCAGAATAGGACCTTGAGCATGTTATTCCACCACTTACGGATCCATTCCAGCCATTGAGGTGAGGGGAGTCATAGTTCCAGATGGTATGAGCATTGAACATTTTCCCCGTATAGTAGGTAGTGTAACCTGCACTCTGCAGCCAAACTGGCAGGTAGTTCTCATTGTGTCCATTCTTCACGAAGATGGGAAATCCACCTGCCACAAGTTAGCACCTAGAAGATTTGATGATCTCGAGGCGTACTTACCATAGGGAGGATTCAGATCAGTGACGTTGGTGTTGTGAGCCAGCTTGCCAGTCCAGAGACTTGCACGAGACGGACAACATATGGCCGTGGTGCAGAAGTGCCGTTTATACAAGGTACCCTGCTTGACAAGGTGGTCTTGAATCAGGGGGATATGTGCGAGGGAGTTCATATGCAGGTCTTGGTCGTCAGTCAAGACAAAAACAATGTTCGGTCGGCTTGCCGCTCCATGCTCAGTAGTGGGCCCCAGGAGAGGTGTCTGGTTTTGGCTCGCTGTGACGACCTGGCTCGTCGCCATGAGCGCCGTCGAGGCCAGAGCTGACTGTAGGAAACGCATTTGTGGTCGCGTTAGTATATCTCCCCAGACGATGCTGTGTGTCTCTTCTCGAATGAATTGGATGCATTCAGTCACAATAGTCCTTTAAAATATGGGATATCACATGAACTGACAAAAGTAGTCGTCTTTGAAGACTGCAGCGATTCGGAAGTCGGAGTGATCGAACCGATAGCCGGATTGCGTGCTGATGGATCCTCATCGCGCAACGGCCAAATACCCGCAACACCCACCTTCCGGGCTTCTTCGCTCGACACAGCATGCGAATGCCAGGTTCCTGCAGCAGAAGAGAGCCATTGATTACCTGGTTCCGGCCCATTCCTTCATCGCAATCCGCGCTGTTGATTGCACAATCGTTATCCTGCGAATCGCCACGTGCGCCAAGCGGAGCTTTCTTCACGGCCAGCTTTTATCGCAGTGTGGACGCAGCGGCTTCGGATGCCGTGCAATCCATGCATCCTCCCATGAGACCTGAATATCTTCGGAGTATTCGATGGGCCTTGACGGACCGGGGAGATGTCAAATCCCCCCGCGTAAAAGGCTCCATATTGTGGTCCAGGAAGATTTTGTTCGGGATAATACTCGGCAGTTATAGAATGATATTGTGAGATCCAGGTGGAAAAACCAGGTATAAAGACGCTTTGCCCTTTGCAAGTTTACGTGACTCTCGATTGTGATCGTCTCTGTTGAAGTCGTGTCGTCGGACAGCCAATCTGAAAAATCCATATTCACAATGGATATTATTGGCGACGAAAAGCAACTCAACTCCGGGCCGGAGGGACTTCTGAAGAGGGGTGATTCGTCGGATCTCCAATGGACAGAAGAAGAAGAGAAGAAGTTACTGAGGAAGTACGTCATTCGTGCAGCTGATACTCGTTGTCACATCCATGCTAAATTCCACACAGAATCGACTTTGTTGTTATGCCACTATTGATTGCTGGGTTCTTCGCTTTACAGCTAGACCGGGGGAACATGTAGGTCAAAGATTGATCATTATTTCGTTCTCCAATACTGATCATCAACATAGTGGCAACGCTTTGACGGATAACTTTTTCGCCGATGTTGGCATTACGCAGAACCAATTCAATGTTGGCCAACAGCTCTTGTCCGTCGGCATCATTCTGCTTGAGGTTCGTGGATCGACCCATCAAATCTGTCACTTTGGCTAATCGTTTTTCAGATTCCTTCCAACCTGATTTTATACCGTGTTGGGCCAACTCTTTGGATCGGTGG